TATTTCTAACGAAGTCTGGAACATTATTTTTCCAAATAATGTACCCATAACAATGTTCAAATAATGTCCCCACAACAATGTTTAATTGATTTGTTGTTTAATTTTCAATTTGCATTATGTTGAAGGTAAAAAAGACCTGTTGAAGGTAAATTCACAACGCGAAATAAGCGTTGCAATAGTCAAATTCGCAACGCGAAAGTCAAATTCGCAACGCGAAAGTCAAATTCAGTTTGCGATTTCGCGTTGCAAATTTGACTTTCGCGTTGTGAATTTGACTTTCGCGTTGATCGCAACATACAACATCAAGTTATATACAACATCAAACACATTCCAAGCTATAAATACAAGCTAAGGACACTTGAAGAAGCAAGAGAACAACTATCCAAGCAATCAAACACAAGAGAAAATCCCAACATGATAACAACTGAACAGATCATAGCAATGTTCAAACTCAAGTTACTAATGAATGTCTAACTGAAAATGTATGCATTCACACATAAAATACACATAATACAACGTTTGCATTTAAAAATCACCTAAGTTAATAAGTCCCAAAAGGTGAAGCTGGTTGTGATTGGGATTTTGATTCTGATTGCGATTTTGATTTCCTTTTGCTTGGCACCATATGAGCTTTGGATTTTGATGAGGATCCATTTTTTTAGAGGAAAAGATGATTGTGATGGCACTGGTGATCCACAGGTCAACCTTGTATGACCACTTTCCTTGCACCGACTACATGTTGATATCCTCTTCTCTTCACCCTTAGACGGTATACAATCGTGATTTTTTGGTCGGCCAAGTAGCCTGCTGTCCATGACTGGTGGAAAAACTGTTGGCAAGTCATCTGGTATGTCCCACTCAGAAGGATGTGGACATGGGTAGACAATCTCGGTATAAGTCTGTCGATATACTTCTGTAGTGTAGCAATCCATAGCGTATGCGCTTGAATCATCTTGGTTTAGATGAAGAGCAACTTTTATAACATGGCCACACGGATAACCAGATGTTTGCCATTTCTTACAACTACACGTCTTTGCATTTAGATTGACAAGCCCATTTAAGTTATTATCCAATACTTTAAACAAAGTGTTTGAACCTGGTTCAACTCTCCAAGACGTTGACTTCACAACACGTTTCGTTATCTTTTTTCAGTCCATGGTGTAACACAACGTTTCAATGTTCCTGTAAATTTAAATAAATAATACTTAGTAAAATATATGATAAGTTACGAATTTAAATAAATAATACCTGCATGGTTTCTTTTCTTGTAGTACCACTGTTGAATAGAGGCTCGAAAAAAACTCCATTAACATAGTAATGGGTAATTTCCGGGAATGACGACTTAGAGCGTTGATTGATTCTGCACTATTAGACGTCATGAAACCATATCTTACTCCAAGTTGATGTACTCTTGACCATCTTTCAAACTCGACATCTTCTAGTGTTTGAGCACATTGAGGCAAAACACATCTTAAACAATTTATATGCTTATTAAAATCCACTTCCCGATAAGCTTTTACAGCCTTCCAGTATGTCCATTTATGATTTTTTATACCAGCAGACCTTGATTTTAGATTTCTGTACAAATAAACACCACAAAGTCCATGAAAAGCATCTAGGAAACACCTTCTAACAACGTTGTCAATTGAGTTTGCCCTATCGGATATGATTGTCAGATTGCTAATATGACATATGCAATCCCTAAGATGCCCCATAAACCATGTCCATGAATCAGAGGTTTCAGATTTGCCAACCCCGTAATCTATTGGCAGTATCCCATTGTTAGCATCCATGACTACTGCTAATAAGTTTACTCCAAGGTATCGACCTTTCAAATGTGCTCCATCAACTATAATAACTGGGCGCATGCAAGTATAAATGAACGAATCTACAAAATCATATACACAAGAAATATAATCATTTAAATGTGAAATGCATGCAACTAACAAAAATGAGTCAACAAAATTATAATTATTTACTAACCGCAGCACCAATGGTGATAAACAACAACTCAAAACGTCCATCTCTATCTGTTTTGATATGAGTTACCGACCCAGGATTTTTCAGCTTTAAATTGTGACAATAAGCCGGCAGTTGGGCAAACGATGCTTCTGGCGACCCCCTCAACAATTCCAAGGCATAACATTTGGCTCTCCAAGCTTGAGAATATGAGATACTAATCTTGAACCGAGCATTCATGTCAGTCATAATTTCATTTCCCCGATATACCATTCCATTCAAAAACATTAACTCAGCCAGAAAACCACCCAACACCTTTCTGTTTGCCTGTCTATGGTGAGGAAAAACTTGGGTTCTTGAACATGTATGTTTATCAATAAAAGTCCTAACTTGAAACATTTCGCAATTTTTTATCCTCTTTGCAATCATAAGCCACGTACAGTTTTTGTCAATCATACACATTGTTTCGAAATGATCTTTGCTTGATTTGTTAACTCTTAGTTGATAGCCATCTTCCACACATTTCGTATACAAAGCTATCTTCAAGTCTTCCTTTGTATCAAAACAATCATCTTTCTTGATACGAATAACTTTTGTGTAACAATCAACTGATATCTTTACCAACTCTTATTCCGGTATCTGAAGTAATTCTGGCATATTCTAGTTATACTCCCGTGACATTTTCTTCTTTTTCTTTTCTTCGGGGACTTCTTCTTCTTCTTTTTCTTCTTCTTTTTCTTCTTCAGGGTTATATGAATTAAAAAATGGATGTTCAACATGTTCATTCACAGTCGTAACTTCCTCCTCATTATCATCAACAACATCTTCCTCGGCAGCGGCTGTTTCATCATCAAAATTTAGGTATTGACCAATATCAAAATCATTACATGCAGGGTCTGTTTCTTCTTCCATCACATCATCAAAATCCGAGTATTGACCAAGATCAAAGTCTGGGTATTGACCAAGATCAAATTTCGAATACTGACTAGTACTCACAATTTTTTCTGTTGGCTCATAATCGTCTAACTGTTCAATACGAAAACCGGAATTTGGTGCTGAAAGTTGATTGGGATTTGGATTAGGAAAAGGATGTGGGTTTTGAGATTGTGTTTGATATTGTGTTTGGTATTGAAAATGTGGTGAAACAAAATTTGCTTGGTGATGAAATTGTGGTGGAACCATTAAATTTTGGGTTGAAGAACTTAGTTGATTACTACCCGCTACTGAACTAACTTCACTACTTCTAGGTTTAACAACATACAGTGTAACATCATCTTCTTGCGAAACACTAATGTAAGCAATGAATCGTTCAACATCTTCATTGTCGGTTAACAAATAAACTTTACATTTTCTCAGATATGATAGCCTAAATCCACTTAGAGGCTCTAAATTCAATTTCTTTGTAACACGTAACATTAGAGTTTCATAAGTTAACTTTTTTAATGACAGTTTTAGTTGAAGATTCATGGGTAAAGGCATATATTGTAAAACACCATGAACATTCTCCCATGACCCTCCAAAACACAAATCTATCCAAACATGATCAACATTAGATGATTTCATTCTAAAAATTGTAAATTAATTTACTAAACAAACGAGCTATAAACTAGATATCATCACTAACTTAGAGAAAAACATACCTTTATTAAGTTGATAGTTGATAATTTGGGTGAGAAATCATTGAAAAATTATATAGAAATAAAATTATGTAAAAAAAAATAGAGATGGGGAAGGATGTCGTTGGATATAGGAACGGATGTCGCCGGAGAGAGTGATAGATGGAGATTGAATGACTTGCGATTTAGGGATTTAGGTTATGAGTTGTTGTTGCTGCGTTGTTATATACCCAAAATATTTGTGTTGCAAAACTAAAACCTGTTGCGAAATTAAATTCGCGTTACGAATTTGACTTTCGCGCTGCGAATTTGGAAAATCGCAATGCGATTTACATATTCGTGTTGCGAAATTGGAAACTGGGTTGCGAATTTGAGATCACGTTGCGAATTTGTTGGTCATTTTGGTAAATCCAAAAAAAGTTGGTTAAATTCGTATATTATAAGACATTTTTGGTCACTGAGGTTATTTTCTCCTTCTAAATAGGATTAAAATTAAAATTAAAATTTATCAAAAATAATGTTTCAATCATACTATTATTATATACTAATTATTATTTTAATAATGAATCACTATTTAAATCATTAATTTTGCCTATCATTTCTTTATTCAATGGCAGAACATAATGAGAATTATGGAATAGTTATAATCTCAAAAGGTTTTAGAAAAATATAATTTATATTTTTTTGAATTTTTATAATAATTATTAGTTTTTCATTTTTTTTTAAAATATCATTAACATTTTAAAAAAAATTAAATGATCACTAAGTCGTTTTAAATATTTGAAAATTTTTAGGTAACTTTCAAATATTTGAAAATTTTAACTATTTTAAAAAATTAATTAATATATATCTATATATTAATAAATATTATAATTACATTTAGGGTAAAGTATATAAATGGTCTCCCAATTATAGAGTGATACTTTCTTGAGTCTCTCAACTATTAAAAGTTACAAAATGATCTTTCAGTTATATGATAATATTTCATTGAGTCTCTCGACTATTAAAAGTTACAAAATGATCACTCGATTATTCATATGTTCCAAACTCGTCATTTTCTATTAAAAAACTGACGGTCATCTGAACTGAACATTACCCCTATTAACTGTGATATAATAAAATTATATTTTAATGATGTCTTCTAACACTATCATTGCTTTCAAGCACTAAGTCGGCAACATAATGTTTCAAGCAATAGCTCGACAACATAATATAAACGGAGAATAAATCCACAAAATACAACTCAAACAATTCTATGATTAGATTTTATAATATAACAATCAATAAATTAACGTCTAGACCGTTATTTTTTTAACGAAAAAAAGATAAGTTAGGAACATATAAATAATCAAATGATCATTTTATAACTTTTAATAATCAAACAATTCAACAAACGTTTAATAGTGATGAGCCTCAATAATCGCCCTATTTTGTTGTCCTGCTAAATACAGGTTGACATTATCGTTACATGACTAAATTTGCTAACTAGTGTGTATAACATATGGAATTATTATTTCTCGATTATACATACATAGATAACATATTAGACGTAGGATACAATTTACAAAACCTGATCAATTTTCACACCACCGCACAGTGGGAAATGCAGTTAACCTACCTACATGCCTGTTTTCAACCACATCAAGAACCAAATATCCTAGTCATCTCCATGTTCCCGTGACAAGAACCATCAACATCGTAATAATGAAAATGACGATAACAAGAACCGACAGGGAGCTCGAGTGATGATGATGCTGCGTAGCAGCTGCGTTTGATTGCACTGATGGACTCGTTTCGCTGCTACCTTGTTCACCATCCTGCTTCACCCTCTGTCTCAGCTTTGTAGAAGATTCTTCAGCAATATCCTCTACCCCATCGACATTGAATGGTTGGTTCTCTTCCTCTAACTCATCATCAGAGCTACAAGTCTGTCCTGTAGCAGCTTCTGCTTCTGTGACCTGCATTGCAAGCATTTAATGGTTTCCTTCAATGAACCATCATTACAGTCGACCTTAGCCAAAAAATGAAAAGAAAGGCATGATAAATTCACTTCAATATGTCAAGTCTCAAAAGTAGCTTTTCATGGTTACACTACCTCACTTAGAGCAGACTGAACTTCTTCACCAGGGCTGGCACTTCTACTTTTGCTATCATCAACACAACCTGCAGAAACTTTCGTCAGCCCATAAGAGAGTTTCTTTTGTAGGCGTATTCTTCTTGGTGCTGTGCCCTGATTTACAGCGCTATCTAAATTTGTTCGTTGCTGAGGTCCACGGGACTTAATCCTGATTCCGGTCCCAAGGTTTTCAAAATTTGACTGTTGCTGAGGCTGGAAGGCTCTATTCTTTATTCCAGTTGTTCCACCAAGATCACCAGCATCATTGTTATAACTCTTCAGATTGGCTAATTGTTGCAAATAATTAATATTACCCATAGCAGAATCAGTGGAATAAGTTGCTTGGCCAACTGAATAATTTCCGAGATCACCAATGTCTCCCCTTCTACTTTGGTCATGAAGTTCTGTTTGAGCACAGCTAGGTTGGAAGGAAGTTTGCATTTGCAGCATTTTAGCGTCTTCATCACTGTATATGCCATTTTCTTTTAGATAAGAGGTTTCGGGTGAGATGAATAAACCATCAGACAAGGGCATCCCAGTTCCAGGAAACGAACTCTCCTGACCATTCAATTCAGTACAGAGGTCATCATGGTTATTGAGGACTGCATCCAACAATGAGAAAGATAAATCTTGTTCACTGGACCCATCCTGGAACTTATATCTGTTTTGATCGTGGCCGAAATCATTTTCATATGGAGAATCCATGCAGAGTGGCAGATCATCAAAAAAATACAAGTTCATTGGCGAGAAGACTTTGTTGTCAATTTCACCGAAAGTAGGCTCACACAAATTCGAATTGTCTCCCTGAAGTGGAAATTTCTGTGTTAAAAAAAAACAAGACAATGGTCCCTTATCAATAATCACAAATTCACAATATAGTCCACAAATCAATGACGAATGCAACAACGACAAAATATAAAGATAAAACATCCACTTCACACCTCTACCATAGTTTCTTCAACAGCATTATCTTCTGCATCAGAAGTCATATGACTATTGCAGCTGCTGTCACATGTTACTTGACTATTATGCATTAGGTTATTCGGCTTTTGAGCTTGTGTATCCGATGACACTGTATCTTGGAGAAGATCCGATGAAGTATCATCAGGAGAAGACTTTGTCATGGCAGGCGAATACCAAGGTTGTTCTACTTCATCATCCTTCCCAATATCATTCCTCTCTTCAGGCTTATGAAACAATTTATATAGGACAAAAGCACTCTGCAAGGAAGAAAATCCCAAAGTTACAGAGGACAAAGCCATAGCAAAACTTATCAAGGCAGTGATAGTATTTGCAGCAACTTCATCTAAAAACAACTGAACACTAAATAGAAAACCTGGCCAGGGCTGGTGCCATCAAGGTCCTTGGTCATGGGGCGATACTCGTGCATGATCCAGTTAGTTCGTTCACCCTTGGGAGCACGGCCCTTGTAAAAAACCAAGGTCTTCTTCATGCCGATGAGCAATTTTTTCGACTTGATGGTTCGATCCTTGCCGGTCGCTTTCCAGTAACCTTTATCAGTTGCTCTGTTGAAGCGGTGGACATTCGGATACTTCCTGTCACGGGGACAGAAGAAGAACCACTCCGGATCATCCGATTTTATCACAGACAGTCCTGAATTCAATACAAACCATCCCAGATATAAAAAATCTAAAAACAATTGATAAATTTGGAATATTAAACATTCTCGGCACACTGAAGAGGAATTTCCCCCACAAAAGGAATAAAATTAGGTTTTACCGGAAAATTCCAGCAGCAAAAAAAAAGCAGGAATCAAAATTTATGAACTAAACTATTGGGAATAAAAGAATTGAAGCTGACGCTTAGGCTAAGACTAAGGCTAAGGTATCAAAGATTCAGTCCAATCGTTCAGCAAATAATTTCTTTCTTTCAGAACTAAATTAAACGCAAAACAAAGAACGGTTTTTAAATTAAAAAAAAATACCAGGTAAATCCCAGGGCTCCCATTTGCAGACATCAATTTCGGGAATGACCTCGACCTCGGAATGACGACCGTTGATCTTCAATCTAAGGTAATTATTGATGAGCTCTTCGTCGGTCGGCCTGAATCTAAATCCTAAAGGCAAAGTTTTCATAGTCAAAATTCCCATCTTTTTTCACACTTTTGCAAAACCCTAATTTCAATTTCTATACTTAATCAGAAGACTGCTTTCTTTCTCTTTCGGCTACTTCGTTTTCCTACTATATCTTTCCTCAGCTATATTTGTGGATGGATTCCGTCTCGTTGCTTGTCATGTGACTCTCACGTACCTTTATGCGTCCGCGTTGCTTTCCCATTCGCCCGCAGATTGATCTCAAAACTTAACATTATTCTAATTAAACCCTTAAAATATAAGTATTATATCAATAAAGTCCTCCTAATTACTAAAAATTTGAGTTATTTGAATTTTATTTGATAACCCGATTTAAATTTAATTGTTTTTACTCGAGCTTATAAAATCATAAATTAAACTAATTTTTATTTAATTTTTAAATCAAATCGAGTCAAAAAAAATGAACAACGGCAGGAAGACTATGGTGGGAAGCTTGGATTTGGTAAAGGTGCAGAAACATATTAAAAAAATTTGAAATTTTGTTTACAAGAAGACTTATAATTAGTATTTTATCTTAAGAGTTAAAATAAAAACTATATTGTTCTATAAAAGTGTTTCAGTGATTAAAATTTAACAAAATGATAACGTAAGTGATCAAAACTTTTCTTTTTAATTTGATGAGAAAAATATGCAAATATTACTTTTGTTAATGTAAAATTAGTTTTAGATTTAACCTTTCTTCTCTTCTTTTTAGAACAATTTCTATCTAAGAAAGGTGAATAGGAATTTTGCTCCTAATATGTAATGAATTTATAATCCACGGACGAAGCTATATAGGGGTTAGGATGGGTTATTTCCTCTCCTAATATTTTTGGTATAATAAAACTTTAGATCTTTTTTAGTTTAAATATTAATCAAATAAGATCTTTCCCCCTCATAACTTTTAAATATAAATATTTAATAGATTCAATCTTTTGATATAAAACAATTTTGTCTCCACAACATTTGATCCTAGTTTCGTCCCTATCACAACCTAAGAAAAAAGAAAAATGTCAACTGAAAACTTTTAACCATATACTCCGGGAAGATTGTTCACATATTTGATTTCTTAAAAACTGATATTGTAGACGTCCGTTTTTGTCTGTGTCTACATTATTATTATTATATTATTATTATTATTATATTATTATTATTATTATTATTATTATTATTATTATTATTATTATTATTATTATTATTATTATTTATTTATTTACATGTGTTACACTATTTTATAGGCCAATCCAGGCCCAACAAATGAAACCCAATTCAATTACAACAAATACCCAAGCCTACCCAAATCCAGCAAGCTGGAGCCCAGACCCGACAAACTTCAAAACCGACCCGAAAGGGATCCTAACCGGCCCAACAACTGACCCAACACTACTAGGGTTTTACCCTATCTCCTCAGTCGCCTCCAGCCGTCAGATCTGGAGGATGATCAACGACCCAGATCGTTCAATCGATTATTAGGGTTTTTTACCCTAAACACCATCAGTTACTGCTAATAAGGAGATCTGGACCGTCTGATCTCGTGCATGTAATGCATGCCCCGGCCCTGGACTTCCTTCACCGGGTGAGTTGCCGACGATAAGTCCCGAAGCTGTCGTTTCATCAAGTTTGCCAGACAGAGACCTATTTTACTCCCACCAGTCAAAATATCATATCAACAGAAAAAAAAAGAATAGAGAAGAAAATCCAAGAAATCTCGAGGGAGATCTGGATCTGTCATAGGTCAAAATAGGGTAATGAAATCCTATTTTTTATCGGGCAGCAGAAAAGGGATCAAAGAGAATATAAAAAGACAGAAGTAAGAGAGTGATTGGGGGAGGAGTAGAACCAAATAGAACAAAAAGAGGAACTAGTTCGAAAAAAAGAAGAAATCTAAGAGAAAAAAATATTAGATTCGAACCACAACCAAATGAAAAAAAGAAAGAGAAAATAAGAAGAGAGAAAATGAGAATCTTACCGAGGGTTCGGAGCATTGAGCAACCCAAAAGTTGTCTTTTTTCAAATCGTTCGAGAGGTAATATCTAGATCTAGGACGAGGGGTTTCGATTTAGAGGAGTAGGCTTGGTTTAGGGTTGAAGGTAAGGAGGGGCTTCTTTTGGGGGTAGTTGCGTCACTCCAGCCGCCGTGCGCCACCGTGTCGGTGTGGGGCGGCACTTTCTTCCCCTACGAGAGGAGTTGAGAGAGTTCACAAAACTCTATTTCCTCTGGTTTTTTGAGATGCGAAGCAAATGACGTATTTGAGAAAGAAAACCTTGTTTAGGCTTAAATACACAGCATGAAACGACACCGTTTCGTATCCCCTTTTATGTGTTTTCTGGTTATGGTCTAATATCTATTTTAGTCCTTTCATGTTGTAATCTTATCAGTATTTATCATCGGGTTTAGGGGTAAATACCACTTTGGATCCTCACACCTTTGTAATTTCATTCTTCAATAAGTTAATGAAATTTTATTTTGAGCACTTATGTTTCGGTACTTATGTTTTAGTCATTTTATTGTTTTTTGTGTATTTTTGTTAATATTTGAATTTGGCCATGGTATTTGTAAATATATCATTTTAGTCACTGTTTTACATTTGGTTTATTTATGATTTGGCCTTCATGTTTTTGTTTATTACAGTTTAGTCCTTTATATTTTCTATGAGTTATTTTCATTTTCATTACATGTGTTATTTAATATTTGCAATATGGTTCTAGTTTATTTGTAAATATTGTTCAGTCCTTCAATTTTTTGTTTTTATTATTTTAGCCCTTTAAGTTTTTGTTTTTGTTGTTTTAGTCCTTTAAATTTTTGTTTGTGCTATTTTTAAGTTTATGTTTTTGCTATTTTAGTCTTTTAAGTTTCTATTTTTACTATTTTTAGTCCTTTAAGTTTTTGTTTTTTCTATTTTGGTCCTCAAGTTTCTATTAATCCTATTTTGGTCATTTAAATTTTTTTATTGTTCTATTTTAATCCCTTATAAATGTATATATTTAACATGTATATTTTTAGGTATAACATTAAATAAATGTTATTATTTTATGTTGTAAATAATTTATTTTACATTTCTCATCGCATTTGTTTCTATTATATTTCCTTAAATATTAATATTATTTGAATATTGCAAGAACACGTAAGTGTAGAATGAGCGTGGAAAATATCACTGGGTCAAAGTGATGCGATTCAATATGGCATTTTAACGACATGAGAAATTAAAATAAAATATCATTTATTTTTACTAATTAATATGTTTCTATTCAAATGGTGCAATGTATGTTTCAAAACATCAATTTGTTTATTTTATGCAAATGACGATTTTCAATTTATATTCGAATTGTAAATTTTTTAAAATCAATGAGGATGAAATATTATTTAACAATGAAAAATAGTTGAAATAACTTTTCTGACAGAGGATTGCAAATTTCACGATTTTTTTATCGAGTTAAAGGATTTTTCTTTAAATAGTTAATTTGAAGCAAATTAATTATATTTCAATAATTGAATTATATTTTAACTATATATTTGATTCATGATTTCCACCATTTACGACAATGTATAAGCGACACGGTAACAATTTTGCGCACTGTGGGGTGCTAATCATTCCCCACGCGTAACCGACTCTCGAACCCGTTTTAATCGAATCTTTGTAAACGCATACCATCTTTTTGTCTTAAAAATGATTTTTCTTAAAATTGTTTTTAAAAGACTTTTTTAGGTATTCGACCTACCTAACCCAAAGGTCGATGGCGACTCTATCTAATTTATTCCAAATCAATTAAAAATCCGACAATTTTTTAAATTAAAGTAGTAATTTTTTTTTAAATAATATTTTAATTATTTTTTATCAAAAAAATGGTTATGACATATATAATTGTTCAAAATTCAAATTCGATAAATTACTTTTACCATGGTGCAATTTGAAGAAAATTCATATGAAATCCATGTATAACCGAATGAAAACAACCCTATACATATATACAAAGGAGTTTGGCAATGGGCCCAACTCCATGACCCAATGTAGCCGAAAGGGGGCCGAGGATGAAGATGAAAAGAACCCCAGGTCTATTTTCAATACGACTGTCCGAAAAAACAAAATTTACAAAATAGGGTCATGAGACTTTTAATTTGAGATATACGGTATTTTTTTATAGTGTATGGAATTTATCATCTTGAAGACTGACATATTTTACATCGGATGTGATAAAAATTAATTAAAAAATTATATTTTATTAGAATTTGTCATTTTAACGTGATGAATTTCTTAAACACTATAATAAATGTCGTAGACTTCAAATTAAAAGTTTGACGATCCTATTTCACAAATTTTATTTTCAGGCTGTCATATTAGGGGGAAACCAAGAACCCCAACCCATTTGAATCTGTTTGATTTATTTGCTCCGAATTGATCGTTTTGATTTGACTCGTATCGTACGCGTAAATTGTTAATCATCAACTATTCATCATTGATTATGACTGTAATAATAATATATTTTGTGAAGTAACCATGACATGGGAGATAATTTAAGTACGAAGATAACATAGAGCCGGGAGAATGGCTGCTTATAGGAGATGGTACTCGAATAAGGCTAGTGATATTACTTGAAAATGAAAGCAGAGACTCCCTCCAATGTGTTTTCAAGTAAATCATAATTACAATGCTAAATCTGTAAAAAAAAAAAATTAAAGTTCCTGTATTAAAATTATAATTTAACATAAACCTTAAAAAAATCATTTTTTGGGACTATTGGAAGAATATAAATACTGATCGAGTGAAATAAAATAGTTTAGAACCTGAAATGATTGTACTCAAATCAAACATAAACCTAATCCGAATGATCTGATTGTCATCTCTTAGGGTTATAATCGATTAATTGAATGGTTTGTAAATTTATTTTATAATAAGATTTAATTATGTAATAAAAAGAAAATTAATATTTAGAATTTAAAATAAAAAATGAAAGCTTAAAAAAGAAAGTAGCGGATCAAGGTAGTACTAGTGAGTGATGTTCGTAGTATGGTTTTTAGAATCGGACTGGTTAACGAATCGGTCATGTTATCGGTTCACTGGTTCAATCGGTCGAATCGGTTCGACCGGTCGAAAGAACCGGATGACGTCATAATTATTTTAAAAAAAATAAATAAATATACCAAAAATATT